GTGTCCAAAGGTTGCAGCGGGGGCGTGTGTTCTGTTTCTCTCTGCTGGGGCAGTTCTCTTCTGTTCATCTGCAGTTTTCTTTATCCATTCCACAGCCAATCCTCCCTCCAGGAGAGATCTGCTGTTAATGAGCCATTAATTATTAATTATCTCCTGCTCATGGGCCACTGAGTGTCCCTGCAGGGCTGATAAAAATTCCGTCATCCCCCTGGGAGATGCTCCGCCCAGGGGGAGGAGCCAAGCATTCCTACCTGGACAGAATCAGCTTGGAGCAGCAGAGAGCCTTTCCCACTGCATTCCCAGAGCAGCAGCTCTCTTCTCATTTTGCTTGTTTGACTTCGTTTTTATTATCTCTATTTTTATTTTTTGCTTTGTTTTTCTTATTTTTATTTTTGATTTTTACTACTTTTATTCTTATTTTTATTTTGTTTCTATATTGTTTTTATTTCTATATTTTTCATTTTTGTTATTTTATTTGATTTTTGATTTTATTTCTGTTCTTCATTTTATTTTCACCTTATTAATTTAATTTTTTCATTTTTGATTTTATTTTAAACTAATTGTATTTTTATTTCTATATTTTTACTTATTGTTTTGTTTCTTTAAATTTTTATTCTTCATTTTATTTTTATCTTATTTTTATTTCTATCCTTTTACTATTTATTACTTTGTTTTATTTTTTATTTTATTTTTATCTTATTTTTATTTCTATCCTTTTACTATTTATTACTTTGTTTTATTTTTGTCTTATTTTTATTTCCAATTTTATTTTTATCCTTATTGTTATTCTTATTTCCACATTTATTTCAATTTTAATTGTTTTATTTTATTTTATTTCAATTTAATTTTAATTTCCTTCCCAAATAAAGAACTGTTATTCCTGCTCCCATATCTTTGCCTGAGAGCCTTCTAATTTCAAATTTCAATAGCAATTCGATTTAATTTCAATAACAATTTAATTTCATTTCACTAACAATTCAGAGGGAGAGGGTTCACATTTTCCTTTTCAGGGGTCTCCTGCCTTCCTCAGCACACACCTGTCTGTTCAAACCAAGAAACACCAAAATACCCCAAAATTACATCCAAATACCATAACAGACCCTGAAATTACCCCAAATCACCCCCAAAATTGCAACAAAATACCCTGAAATCCCATCAGGGATTCCAAAATTACCCCAAAAGTGTCCCAGATTGCCCCAAAATCCAGTCACAGACTCCCTGAAATCCCATCAGGGATCCTGAAATTGCACCAAATCACCCCAAAATACCCCAAAAGTACACCTAAATCCCATCAGGAACCCTGAAATTGCACCAAATCACCCCAAAATCCCATCTGGGACCCCCAAAATCCCATCAGGCACCCCAAATTACCCCAAAATTGCACCAAAATACCCCAAAATCTCATCAGGAACCCCAAAATTACGCCAAAAGACCCAGAAATCCCATCAGGAATCCTCAAAATCAGGGCAGGGACCCCAAAATTACCAAAAATCCCCCCATAACTCCGGTCAGGGTCCCCAGAATAACCCCAAATCCCGCCAAAATCGCCCCAATTCACACATTTTCTGCTCCAGCTGATACAATCTGTAGTTACTGTACAGACTTACAAAATGCTGAAAATTAAACCTGTGGTTAACCAGCTTGATTTTAAGACACACAAAGTAGCTTAAAGTTGACTGACCATTCAAGTCGTCAGCCCATTCTAAATATTCCTGTTAAACTTTCCAGATCTTCATTTTTGAAATGCAGTTCTTTCAGTAATGTGGTCAGGAACTGTGAGTACATTGGGCTTGCCTGAGTATCCTTGAACAGCAGAGTTGTTTCTGACAATACAGATAACAAAACAATAGCAATCAGAGTCCATTCAGGCATTCTGTGGATAATATTTCTGTTTGTTAACCGGAAAGTTCTGACAAGATTTTTTAGCTCTGTGTAGACATCACCTGAAGCAATGTGAAGAGGGCCCAAAACTGCAGAGAATGCTTTTCTCAGTTTTTCAAGGACAATTCGCTTCCTAATCTGCATTTGTGCCTTCGAATCAACAAGTGGGAAGGTGAGATCTTCCTGCTGACCATCTTTGTCTTTGCTTGGATGTTCCCCTGCCTGCACTCGTGCCTCCTCAGCCAAGACGCACCTTCCTTGATAGAACTCTCTTACTCGGAGCTCTAGGAACTCTGTTTCTTCTTTTAACTCTTCATAACTAGGCACAGGCTGAACTATTCCACCCGAGCCTGTGAAAGGTAAAGAGTAGTTCAAACTGTTTCCAGACTCCCCTACAGCAACAGTGCTGAGATCATCAGCTGTATCTAAGTCATCCTCATCAAGCTCTTCGGTCTCCTGGCTGACAGATGCTACGCACTCTGATGAGCCCAAAGAAGTATAGTTTGGGCCATAGAGAAATTGGAAAGTTTCCTCAGTTCTCCACTCCATAAGTGTCTGCCTAAGCTCTTCTAGTAAACTGCCTTTAGAATTAACTGCATGCCTCAGTGCAGGGTTTTTATGTTCTGTTGACTTAGCTAATTTTCTTTTAAGATGTTCTGCTCCTCTTTTGCTCACACCTAGAAAAACTATCTGTGATCCACATGTATTTTCAAAGATTTCTGAAGCACTTGATTTCCCAGGAGCAGTATTGTCTGAAGGTGGTGCAGTTACTTCATTATGAACAGAGCAAGTGTGTCTTTCTTCCTGAGTGTCTAATTTACAATGAGAGAGTTGTTCAGTGGCTTCTACCACATCTGCATCTTCAGTTTTAGGGCTGGCCTGGACTTTCTGAGCATGCTTCTTTTTGAGGATGCTTTTTCTGTGCAGTTGCTGTGCAAAATTGGCTGAACTTGACTGACTTCCTGGTAGGACAGAAGAAATAAATTCTTGTTCAGTGTCAGTACTGCTGTCACTGGCTGTGTCGTGAGAACCAGATTCACATGGATCTGAAGATATCCTAGGATGTTCAATGTCAGATGCTTGAATTACTTCATCACGTAGTTTCACCTCTTCTCCAGACCGTCCACTCCGTCCCTCCTTCAGCAGCTCTATGTCTGGAGGTTTTTCTTCTTCTCTCATCCACACTGGACTTTTGGAAATTTGAGCTTCCAAATATTTAGATGCTCTATAGCAAAAGCTGCTGCAAAAGCACTTTCTTTCAGTGATATCATAAACTCTGTTTGTTTTTGTTGAAATCCTGTACTTCTGCTTTGGCACATTTCCCAGCTTCTTCTGACATAGAGGATAACCACACAGTTTGATGATAGACCGTTCATCAACAACGTCTTTATAGTGAGATGGAGTAATACATTTCCCACAATTCAGAAGGAACTCTTCAGTAATGTCCTCTTCCAGGAGCTGCTCAACAACAGACAACGCTTTTTTCTCACATTCCATCCTGTTTCTCAGCGCAGCCTCCAGATCTGCTTTCCTCTGAGCAGCATCTTCATTTTTCGGAGCAGCTGAACGATTATTTCCTGCGCGCCGCCGGCAGGGCTTGCCCGTCCCGGCCGCCATCCTCGCCATCACCGCCGCTCCCTCGGGATCATCCCGCTCCTTCCCGGGATCGCCATCCACGCTGCCCGGGTCCCGTTCGGGATCCGCTCCTCCCGGACCCGCGCAGCCCCGATCTCGTTTGGGCTCCGCTCCGCCTGGATCTCCGCCCGGGCTGGTTCCCCCTGCTCCTGCGCCAGCACCCGCAGCCAGCGGGAGCGTGTCCCGCACCGCCGGTGCCCTTGTGCGCTTGCAAAGTGCGAGAAAGCCCTCCCGGCTCCGGCTCCCGGGTTTTGGGTCACTGCTGCGCATCCTCCGCGCTCCGCCGCCCGCGGCACCGCGCTTGTCGCTGCCGCCTATTCGGCCCCCGCGTGTGGCCCCGGCCTCCCCCGCGGCCCCTGTCGCTCTCATGGTCCCGAACTTTCGCTGTGGAGGATTTTGTGGACAGTTGGCTGGCTGACAAAGGTCACGCTGGAATAATAGCGTTGGTTAAGCAAGAAGGAGACGAGGACAGGAGGCAGCGGTCAGTGTCCAGACCTGGCAAGGGCACTGCGCCCCTGCTGCAACAGCTGCACGGGGGAGAGAAGTGAAGAAAGGATAAGAAAAGCCCAAACAGAATAACCACAAGGATGTAGGAGTAGGCGTGGTTAGCTGATAAGTAACTAACCAATAATGAGCTCGTCTTTTGCAATATGCATTAACCTCATTAACACCAGTATAACTATGTGTGCCTATCAATAAAGTTTTGAGATTTGCTGATCACTCATATTGAGTGCCGCCTTTCTCCCACCGATCCTGTTGTGTGGCTGTTATCTCTCTCAGGGTGTGGCTGTTATCTCAGGTGTGGCTCTGTCCTAGGCTGACGTTATGATGCTTGTATCCCCAGCCTTCTATTCTGTTTATGCTGGAGATTAGTTCTGCACCTCCCAGACTGCTGAGACAGAGTGGAAGTGTTCCAGAATGGAAATCCACTTTGATTTCGGTGAAATGTACATCTGTGAATTAAGTCTGTAGCTTGCAAACACGGCTGTTTGGTCTGACTGCCTGTGCTCAGAAAAAACCTGTGCTCTAAGGAACTGCTTCAGCTGAAGGACAGAGAGAAGGAAGGGCCCCTTGAGCTCTGGGACAGACGCAGAGGCTGCAGGAGACAGGGCAGGATGACCCAGGAGTTCTTTCTGTACCTTCTGATAAAAAACCAGCTGCAAGTGCCACCAACCGAAATCAGTAGAATGAATATTTATGAACCTGCTGTGAAATGCCAGGCGTGTGGGTCAGTAAGGGAGATAAAAACAGGTCTGGAGCTCCCCGAGGCGGGCATGTCCATTGGAGGGGAGCAATCCCCCGTGCAGCCAGCACGGTAACACACATACCGGCTTTACAGCTTGCACTAAAGCTGTGGAGTTGGTTTGCTCTGCAAATCGCAGTTATGACACTAAATAGTTATATAATACTGAATTGTAATAGTTGTATAGTTGTAGTTATGTTATAGTTCTATTACAGCTGTAACATGAAATAGTTATAATAGTTACAGTTCTATTCCAGTTGCAACATTAAATAATTCTATAATACCAATTAGCTCTACTGAAAAATTCTCAACAAAACAGGGTTAAAAAAACCCCAAGAAACTGGAAATTTGACCTGGGCCGGATGTCCCTCAGGGCTTTAGATCTGTATCAAATGTCACTTCTGAGAGCTGGGATTCTTCTCCTCTTGCTTTAAATCACCTGGGGGCTTCAGCCAGGGCCCCTTGTGGGGGTGTGGAGTGTGCCAGGGACTGCTGAGGCCACTCACTGGGCCATTGGGCTTGTGAGATAAAAACCACACCTGAGATAACAGCCACACCTGAGATAACAGCTCCTCTGTCAAAGAGTCACACAGTCAGGAGTGTGTCTTCACCTCTCAGTGTGTTATACATACAGATTATCTTGAATGGACGAGATAATTAAGAAATTCTTCGCATAGAGAGAACAGCAACAAGGCAGCAAAATTACCAGAAGAAGAAAGATTGCCTCCTTATCAAGAGGAACCAGACTTCGAGGGACTGGCAGGACTGATTTACAAGACGAGGGGGGGAGTTGAAATTAAGGAGAAACACCCTTAGTTTGAATAGGAATGTTAGAATCAGGAACAGCAACAAGGCCCCAAAATTACCAGAAGAAGAATGATTGCCTCCTTATCAAGAAGAACCAGACTTCGAGGGACTGGCAGGACTGATTTACAAGATGAAGGGGGGAGTTGAAATTAAGGAGAAACACCCTTAGTTTGAATAGGAATGTTTGAATCAGGTATGAGATCGATGAATATGCAATAGGCTTTTGCTTTTAGGGAGTAATCCTTTGTCAGCGAAGCGTGCTTTTGTAGCAGAGCAAAAGCACCCCATGTCCATAATTCTTTGCTTTTTATTGTCTTTTCTTGTCCTTTCATTGTCCTAATTCTTATTTTCCTCATTTTTATTACTATTTTCATTACTATTAAACTTCTAAAATCTTAACACAAGTGAAGGGTGGTTTGCACACAGTTTAGGATTAAAGTTTTTTTTCAGTTTTCTTGCTGTGGAAAATTCTGAGACCGTTTTTCTACTTGCCACATTGACATGTCTTGTTTGCCTGTGGAATCTTCCTGCTTGGTAAAAACATCTTTGTGTTTGTGGTCAGCTTGTCCTTTGCTCTAAGTCACAAAATCTCTTTCCATCTCGACATAACCTTTGCTATTTAACCGTCCAGCAAGGCTGGCTCAGCAATCCTCAATTTACACATCCATTGTTCTTCTGTGCCAAAACCTGCTTCCATTTCTATTCCGCTCTCAGCTTCCACATTCAGAGATTTTCCTGCCCAGCAGAAATATCTGTAAGACTTTCTTGTCAAACTTCCATCCTTCCCAGCGCGAATCCCCTGAGGGAAAATCCCCAAAAGAACCCCCAGAGTTCCCCCCTGTCCCAAGCACCCATCAGTCAATCAATCAATCAATTAATAAATCAATCAGTTAATCAATCAATCAATCAATCAGCACTTCCATGGGCAGGAATTCCCCAGGTGATCAGGAGCAAACAGAAAAATCCTGACCCCAACACCCAGGGATGGAACTGGGAGCACTGGGCTGGTAGCACTGGGATGGAACTGGGAGGCCTCCTTATCAAGAGGAACCAGACTTCGAGGGACTGGCAGGACTGATTTACAAGATGAAGGGGGGAGTTGAAATTAAGGAGAAACACCCTTAGTTTGAATAGGAATGTTTGAATCAGGTATGAGATCGATGAATATGCAATAGGCTTTTGCTTTTAGGGAGTAATCCTTTGTCAGCGAAGCGTGCTTTTGTAGCAGAGCAAAAGCACCCCATGTCCATAATTCTTTGCTTTTTATTGTCTTTTCTTGTCCTTTCATTGTCCTAATTCTTATTTTCCTCATTTTTATTACTATTTTCATTACTATTAAACTTCTAAAATCTTAACACAAGTGAAGGGTGGTTTGCACACAGTTTAGGCTTAAAGGTTTTTTTCAGTTTTCTTGCCGTGGAAAATTCTGAGACCGTTTTTCTACTTGCCACATTGACATGTCTTGTTTGCCTGTGGAATCTTCCTGCTTGGTAAAAACATCTTTGTGTTTGTGGTCAGCTTGTCCTTTGCTCTAAGTCACAAAATCTCTTTCCATCTCGACATAACCTTTGCTATTTAACCGTCCAGCAAGGCTGGCTCAGCAATCCTCAATTTACACATCCATTGTTCTTCTGTGCCAAAACCTGCTTCCATTTCTATTCCGCTCTCAGCTTCCACATTCAGAGATTTTCCTGCCCAGCAGAAATATCTGTAAGACTTTCTTGTCAAACTTCCATCCTTCCCAGCGCGAATCCCCTGAGGGAAAATCCCCAAAAGAACCCCCAGAGTTCCCCCCTGTCCCAAGCACCCATCAGTCAATCAATCAATCAATCAATCAATCAATTAATAAATCAATCAGTTAATCAATCAATCAATCAATCAGCACTTCCATGGGCAGGAATTCCCCAGGTGATCAGGAGCAAACAGAAAAATCCTGACCCCAAGACCCAGGGATGGAACTGGGAGCACTGGGCTGGTGGCACTGGGATGGAACTGGGAGTACTGGGATGGAACTGGTGGCACTGGGCTGGTGACAGTGGGATGGAACTGGGAGCAGTGGGCTGGTGGCAGTGGGACAGATCTGGTGGCACTAAGACAGGACTGGGAGCACTGGGCTGGTGGCAGTGGGATGGAACTGGTGGCACTGGGAGGGAACTGGGACCACTGGGATGGTGGCACTGGAGTGGTGGCACTGAGACAGGACTGGGGACACTGGGATGGAACCGGGAGCACTGGGCTGGTGGCAGTGGGACAAAACTGGTGGCACTGGGCTGGTGACAGTGGGACAGACATGGTGGCACTAGGCTGGAACTGGTGTCACGAGGCTGGTACTGGTGGCACTGCCGTGTCCCTGGTGCCAGCTGTGTGCTGTCCCCGTGTCCCCGCAGTGTCCCTGGGGGTGGCCGAGGACGGTCACCTGCTGCTGGCCCTGCCCGCGGTGGCCGTGTCCTGCCAGGTGTCCCCGCGGGGGAGGGGACATCGCGGTGTCACCTGGCCACCAGCGAGCCACGGCCCTGCGGGGGGCGGGGCCTGTGGGTGACGTCACCTCGCCCCGCCCCTTCAGCGCGCGATATAACTGGGACGGTGACACCGGGTGGGACAGGGGCTTGGGACAGGCACTGGTGTCCCCGGAGCATCCCTGGAGCGTCCCTGAAGTGTCCCCAGCGTCCATGGAGCCCTGCGAGGTGCGACAATCCCTGCACGGGGGGCTGGGAGGGGACAGAGGGGACACGGGGGTGGCAGAGCGGACACGGGGGTGGCAGGAGGGGACGGGGGGAACAGAGGGGACAGGGGAGACGGAGGGGACACAGGAGATGATGAAAGGGGGCAGTAAGGGACGGAGGGGACACGGGGGTGGTGGGAGGGCACAGGGGGTCGCAAAGGGGACAGGAGGGCATAGTGGGAAGGTGGGAGGTGACAGAGGGGTGGAGGGGGTTGGACA